GGGGGGCTTAGAAGGGGGGGCGAAGTGTATTATGTGTGTGGGGGGAGTGTATTTTATTTGTGCAGGGGGGTGTATTAGTGTGGGGGGTTGTATTTTTCTGTGTGTATATTGGCCCCATTCACTCCTATATTTCAGGTGCGATTAGGGATTCCTATGTCACAAACTTGCGTTTTCCTGCAGCAGGAATCCCTAATCTGACGTTTACATGCAGCAACTGTCACCCATTCAAATTAATGATCGTGTGACAGCCGCTGCATGTACACTCCTGCACACCGCATGTAATGGTATGTTATATGATTACATGCAGTTACAAAAACAATCACTATCCCTGGATAAACAATTGTGTAACCACTGATAGTGACAGATTCCTAACTGCATGTAATCCTTTCACATATGATTACATGCGGTGTGCAGGCGTGTACATGCCGCAGCTGTCACCCGATCATTAATTTGAATGGGTGGCAGTTGCCGCTTGTAACATATGCAGACATTAAAGGCCGTGACACACTGCACGCGAAGCAGCATGGAGCGGGGGCGCGCCGCCTTTGCGAGCAGTGTGTCATGTCATTTTCTGCTCGGCACCTCAGCTTGCGAGAGCTCGCGGAGCTGAGCGTGCCGAGATGAACAATTTCAACTTCAGCCAATCGGCTCGCGCGTATAAACCAGCGCGTCGCGATGCGACAGCTGGCAGGTTGTTACGGACGAGCCGATTGGCTGAAGGTGCTGTCAATCATCTGACTGCACTCAGCTCACACACTGCACGCAAAGCTCCGTGCCGGATAGCTTTGCTTCGCTCTGCACGGCTTTGCGTGCAGTGTGTCACGGCCTTTACACCGGTACCGTATATAGTAGCGGCCCCCACACGACTAAAATATTTGTCCAGTGGCCCCCGACTAAATTGAGTTTGAGACCCCTGCCCTATACCCTTTGTTGTTAAATCTTTTCTCCACCAGTTTTAATTGGTGGCCTCTAGTTCTTATTATGGAGTTTACTGTAAAAAAGTTTTATTGCTGATGTTGCTATAACCACTAAACATTTTATACATCAAAATCAAGTCCCCTCTTAATTGCCTCACTTCTAGCATGAACAAGTTTAAATTTAGCAACCTTGTCCCCCAGCCCCTTCATTCGTTTAGTTGCCCTTCTCTGGACTCTCTCTAGCTCAAGGACATCCTTTCTGTGGATAGGTGCCCAAAACTGGACCGCATACTCAAGATGAGGCCGCACCAGTGTAAATATATAAAACTAGAAACTCTTCATAGAAACAAGGTTGATGAAATCATTTACATTAGCCTGTTTGTAATAAAACAGCACAGACCCCCTTTACAAGTATGTACAAATATAACCATGTTAAAGAAAAAGTATATATCATTATAGAAAACTTCTTGTTACAGGCTTGTCACAGATTTTATTGCTATGTGCTGATTAGTTTTCATTATAAAATACAGTGGCTGCATTAACTATGTGATCTCCTTTTAGGTAACACATCTCACTTGGAAAGATCATTCGAAGGCTCACAGATGAATATAGGTTCATTAACTATGGCTTTCTATTCAGCGTTGTATTCATTTTCTGGATGGGACTGCATTAATTATGTAACAGAAGAAATGAAGAACGTTAAGAGGTATTGTTCCTGCATCTCTTGGTACACAAATTTCATCACAGTGTCTACTTTGTTCAATACTGATGGTTCAGTTTTGTGTGGTTTATGGATTCATATATCCAGTATCTGAAGGTCTGAAATGGTGAGCAATGTGTGGCTATCGTTGTGCTGACCCATTGGATTTAGCACTTTCTATGTTACTGGTTCAGAACAAGTATGAGATCAGGAAAGTCATAAATACTCATTTGTGCTATTCTTGTTCACTAATTTAAAATGTATTTCCACTTCTGCAGCCAAATCAAGATAGCACCTTTATATTTTTGTTACTGGTTTTTCTTTCATTCATATAGCATAACTTAAATGCTGCTTGCACAATAAATGCTCTTTTCTGAAAGAAAAGATGTTCTGTGTACTGAGTTTTGCTCTGGGATGCACGGCGGCTGGGCAGGTTAACATTAACATACTTAACCCTGTCTGTACTGTGCTGGTAGGTCTCATTATCAGTTGTACACCAGATTTGAAAGCTGTCTAGCTCTAAAACAAAGGGTTAAAGATCTAGATGTTAATGAAGGGAAAGCTCCGTCTGTCTCTAGTCTTTCTATGTGGACAGACTGAGTTTTCTCTCACAGAGTGCGGGAGAAGCTTCTAAAAGGTAAGAAATGTTAAAAACAAAAAAAAAATATTTCTAGATATGCAGTGTGAATTGGAACACAGGACCAACATATTGAGGAGTTTTCTCAAATTTGACTGCAAAAGTGGAAATACACTTTAAAGTGCTATATAGTCTGTATGACAAAGAACATATGAGATATATGTCAGTCAGTATGACCCCCTGCTATTGTTATCTTCTGACTGGTATTTTTAAGAAAGTTGCCACTTCCACAAGAGTGAGCAAGCTCAATTGTTCCCTCTCCCCTTATGGCCTAAAGATGAACCCCTAAGGCAATGAGTGTGTCTCATTATGGGAGGCAGGGAGGCCATACATATGTGCCCCCATAGCCAGAAGTTTGGGGTATGCTGCAGGGGTGCAAGACACAGGATGTGAACTTGAACCTAGCTGTGTCCGCTATGTCTCACCATGCTCACTTTTTTTCCTATAGGTTTATTTATAGTGTATTAGAAGGCCACAGACCTTAAAATTACAAATCCTTTGGCAAGTATGGCAGTTGACATATATGCAGTTCAATAGTATGCATAGCTGTGTGCTTTTGAAGCTCAGTTGAAGTCTTGTTATCTATTACTGTAATGCAGTCAGGCTGCATATACAGCAATAAATATGAGGCTATTTTTCTTTTTTCAACTGATAATTGCTCCAGCAAGGTTTAAAATACTCTATTTAAATGAGGGTTGGGAGCTATTCATCTATATACACAAATAAATGAAGCTCTTGGGTCTCCTACTGCAAATATTCAATAGAGCTAATTTTACCCTCTAACGGGAGATCCTATCAAAGAGCGAAAAAACAAGTCACAATATATGCAAATATATATCAAAATTTAGTCTTAAAAACTGCATAATACATCTATACAAACATTTAAAAAGCTCTCAACCCCTCTGATCGCTAGTGGTATAATCAACATCAAATCATATTCATTATTCAAACAATCTTGGTGTATAAGTTGATAATCAATGTGACTATAATGTATCTGGAATCCAACAATGTATCCGGTGTTGAAGATCTTTTTCAACAAGTCATGTGGAATATATGAATAGACAGTGGAACAGCGCATTAGATGAGGACTTGTTGCAAAAGATCTTCAACACCGGATACACTGTTGGATTCCTGATACATTATAGTCATATTGATTATCAACTAGTATCAACCAAGATTGGGTGAATTATGAATATCAAGGGTTAAAATACCCTGTGTTGGCAGCACATGGAAGAGTCGAATGCTGCTCTCTCACACAAAGAAATGGCCTGGCTCTCCAACAATTCAAAATGTCAAAAATGCTATTCTAAAATGAATTTAGAAGTAATGTTCCAATGAGACTCCTTTGTTGCAGCTGGAGAGGTGAGAACATAAAGCCCTAGATCCAGAACACTGGCAGGGTCAAGGGATATTTAATCACATATCTCCTAGTAGATAAAAAGAAAAAACAGAGAACAATCCATTTGTCTATGACTTAAATATTTCCTGATGAACTAAACTGAACTCCACTGAGTTTTGATGTAAGTGGATGAACTTAAAACTTAGCGGTTCAGGGACACATTAATATCTAGTCACCTACATAAAACCTAGTCCATTGCTACATACCTATTCATAATCAGAATGATAGATCTGCCAATGTGAAAATAATGCACCTGGTTAGTTCAACAGTTCTTTGTTCAGAGACAATCAAGGCACATCTTTGTGTTCACTCAATTACATGCATTCCATTTAACACACCCAAGCCAGGCGAAATACTGAATTGCACCACAAGGCGGCGCCCATTACTAACATTTATATTATATTAAATCAGTGATGTGACCAAATGTAGATGATATCATAGAATTTAACTGGGAGCTGTCTTTGTATTAGTTTTCTATTAGCCTTTGCATAGCAGGACGCTTACTAAGAGCAGAGGTGGAGCACTTTAAAGGGTATTTCCAATTTTGCAGTCAGATGTCTCTCTGCAAGCTTCTCTCTCGATTTCCAAGTGACACTAACTCTGTCTGCCCTCAAAGCAAGACAAGGGACAGCCCGAGCTTCCCCTGATTAACATACAAAGCTTCTAGTTTTTTAACCCTTTGTTGGAACAGACAGTGTTCAAATCTAGTTTACAACTGATAATGAAATCCGACAGCACAGTACAGACAGGGTTAATTATGTTAACATCAGCCTGCTATGTGAATGGGATCATGTAACAAATATAAAGTAGATAAACAAAGAATACAAAAACTCTCAGCTCTACGATTTTGTGGTTGTTTTCCTGTGGTGGGGGTCCCTCAGGTGCCAACTGAAAGGTGATTACAAAGGTGATGATTAAGCCTTGAGGGTGGAACGCATGAGTGGGATTCTCTTATGATGGGGAGCATTATGTGGTGTATATCGGTTTGTGGATTATAATAAAGCTTGGACATGGGAAGAGCCATGGAGTGCGGCTATTCTTGAATTGGGGAAATATAAAGTAGGTGTTATCCCATAATCATTTTGGTGTCACCCCTCCAATGGTGTCACCCGGGTGCGGGCCACACCCCCCGCACCCCCTTGTGACGCCACTGCCAATATGGCTACAAAAGTGGAAATACGCTTTAAGCCAACTGGGGGTCCCCGCTACTGTATGTGCCTGCATAATAGCAATTTACAAAGTATTCACAGTGTATTACTGTATAGCATTCTATTAATCTATTTTTTATATATATATATAAGGCTATAATGGCACTTGGATATACCCACATGATCCAGCAGTCTATTTAATAGAACATAGACATGCATTCTCCTTATTTTAAAGTTACACTAAACGCAGGGGTACATTTTATAACTGCATTCAAGTAACTTAGCTATTAACAAAAATGTATCTTATTTGTATATCACTCGGCTATAGTTCCTCAAATCATCTCTGAATTGGTGCTGACACTGTTCTTCCTTCTGGAGGGTTGCTACTTTTGTTCCCTGTGGTCGCTGTGTGTGTTGTAAAGTAGCCACCGCTCCCAGCTCGCTCCTGTGATGGACTACAATCTCAATATACAGTAAATGAGTAAACTAAACGGGAGATTGTAGTCCATCACAGGAGTAAGCAGTAGTTGGGTCTATAAGCAACCTACTATAGCAAACACACCATAGGAAGCACCCAAAACTGTTAACATTTTTAAATAAAAATAAGCATCAAAAGGGTGTTTAGTTTGTGGTTCTTGACGTGTCTTGAATGTCTCAGAAATGGTGCGTCATACCATACTTTTATATTGATGCCCGTGTGGACTAGGGCTAACTAATACCAACCAGATTTCACTTTTAACAGTAGTCGTAAACTTGGGAGAGGTTTGCCAACTTTTACTATGGGTTACTGCACATCTACTTCATTATATAAAAGCTTATATGCATGTAACATATTTTACCACCATGGTATGTCAAGTCATTGTTGAACTGTTTTTCCCCAGAAATTTGCCACTATCGATGGTGATCTCTATGCCACTGGTTACAGTAATCTATGTCATGACAAACATTGCATACTACACAGAATTAGACAAGGACACCATCATGGAAAGCAGTGCAGTGGCTGTGGTAAGACTTTACTTTTTCCAGTCCTTCTTCAGTAGCTTCTTGAAGGTAGCATTGCATCTGTGCTATGCGCTTCAGAAGGGAAGCTAATGTGGAAATCTAAATCTCCGTAGTTAATATATATGGGTTCAGTTTTTTTCTTATCCTTTTTTTAAATTATTTTTAGGACTAAAAGATAAAAATGTAGAAAATGTATTTTATAACATTTTTATCTTTTGCATGAATTATTCATATTTAACATTTGTAGCTTGCAGGTGACCATTTAAAGGCAGCACCTCTATTTGTCACTAAACCCATGCCCACAGTGCCATCTCTGTTTACACTTGGCAAATAGCCAAGTACAGAGGGGGGGCAAGGAGATTTTACTGGTGATGGCGTCTATTATACATGTGGTGCTGATGTCAGCAGTGGGCTGGAAGTACACTGTATACACTACACTAGCCAGGGAAATGTACAAAACCTCATTTAGGCTTTTTAAATAAATCATTCATTAGCTGATTACATGGCAGATGTAAACACTTACAAATATCTTTATGAAAAGTATAGGGACCAGACATTGGATTTAAAGCAGTACCATAGAAAAGGTACTAAACAGGCTGCAGGCAGATATGACCCCACAGCGCTGGTGGTGCCCTGAAATCTTAGCCACTGCATGATGCCATATAGTGAAAAGGGAGACCTAGATGTATCATAGGCTTGGCTTTCAATGTGGTTCCTTCTAATGCCCCTGATTAGAACCCTAGTGCCATGTACAGCAATTCAGGCTATTTAAACAATACATCACTTGTTGCTTCCACCTTAAAAGAATGCACACGTACTGGATTTTCTCTGGAAAATTAGTGGGTCTTCCTGGTAAGAAAAACCCATGGATTGTTGCTACTTAGACCTCATGTTAATTTAAACCAACTTTATAAAGTCGACCAAAATATTTATGACTTTGGACTACAAGTATGATCTTCAAATATCATCTGAAGGATTTTCAACCAAGCATCTGGTACACAGTAGCAGAATTACTATTGGGGGGTCCATTAATAAAGGAGAGCAGATGTGATATCTGCTCTGGAATAGTTCACCATAATACTGAATAGCATGGCCTGCCCATTCAAAAAATGGAGCGTTCAGTGTCCTAGGGAGTACACTCTATTTAATGCAGCAGAGGGAACTCCTTGAATAGAGAAGACCCAGTCATGTGTTTGGGCTCTCTTCCTATTTTTTTTTTCTCCTTTCAATCAAAATTGGTCCGCTGGTTTCAGAGTCCTGAAGCTGGCAGAAAGCTAAACACATCTGAAAAGCACATTGCAACACCTGAAGCTTAAAAAGGTCCACAAGCTACTTTTAAAGCAGAATGGGGCCCATAGACCTAATGGATGGGCCTGAAACATAACAAAAAAATATGCGTTTTTTCAAGGATAAACAACCATCTATTTCTCCTAGAACCTAACTTTCTATTGGCTAAAACACAAAAGCTTAAGCTTGAGTATGCCTGAAAAAACTGTAAACACTCATGTTCAGGTGTGAATGCAGCCTTAGAGTCCTTGTGATGCAATATATATTCTATCCTACAACCATATTACTAATAATTTTATATGATTGCTTACCTTGAGGGAATGATGTCATATTTCTTATATTGCGTTGTGTATTTTATAGACATTTGCAGAAAGAGTCCTGGGATATATAAAGTGGTTTATCCCAATAGCAGTGGCTATATCCTGTTGCGGTGGATTAAACTCAGTAGTCATTTCAGGATCCAGGTGAGAAAACGAGTGATATGTACAAATTAGGCACTTCTAGGCACTCCATTTTGCAGCTGCAGTTTTAAATGGAAAGTTACTTTTTTTTATGATTTTTTTTTCAAGTGGAGTTTCCCTTTAAGTCCAGTGGAGGAATAATACTTATTAAGAATTATTATCTCCTAGTGAACCCCTAGGGAACCCCACCACAATCCAACATGCATACTATGAACTTTGTTCTCCAATAGCATGATTTTGGAGATCCCGATATATACTAGGGGGGGAATTTATCAAAACAGGGCAACCAATCAGTTTCTCTCTTCAGTTTGTTCAGTTAAGATTTGAAAATGAAAGAGAGAAGCTGATTGGTTGCCATGCACAGCTGCTCCAGATTTTGTCGGCTCCAGTTTTGATAAATCCCCCTCAGTATGTTTTGCTGGAGCTACCTGTCTGCCACTGTTCTAGTCATAACTGAAATATACAGTCTAATAATTCTTTAGTTATGATTAGATCTGCAATAGACAGCTTCATCAGAACTCCTAATACTGCAGTTGCCAGGCTAAATGTGCTATTGGGAGCCATAGAGGTCCCTGGTGCTGTTGATGGCTGGATCATTAAGGCCCCATTCTCTCCTGTGAATAGGGCTGATCGCATGAGTAATACAAATTCCTCCATGCGATCAGCTGTGGGTGGGGGGCTCTGTACTATACAATGATAGCTGCCACCACCACATCTGTTTGCATATAGTCACGCATGCTGCTATTACTTCTTTCTCTCCCCTCTAAAACATGCACTGGTCACCCCAATACCAAAAAACATTCACTGGACCCCACCAACGTCAACCATCTCAGACCTATCTGCTTACTTATATATAAACTTAATAAAGTTTATATATTTTTTTCAATAACACAAAACTATCGGTCTCGGTTTGCTTTAGTAACCACTACTTCCAGCAATTCCTTTCCTGGAAGACCCCTTCTTTTTCCCTTGTATGCATTTTGGTTAAATAAACCTTGATGACCGGGTAACATTATATGAAATTGGAATTGATTTTATCGTCTTAGATCTCCAGAAATACCCCCAAACTCCAAACTCCTTGAATGCCTCATCTACAACCATTTCACTGATAACAATCTTATTGATCCCTTACAGTCCGGCTTCCGCCCCCAACACTTCACTGAAACCGCCCTCCTAGAACTCACTAATGACTTTCTATCAGCTAAAACAATGGCCACTACTCCTTACTCTTGCTATTAGACCTCTCTGCTGCTTTTGACACAGTTGACCACCCACTACTCCTTAAGAAACTCCACTCGCTTGGCCTACAAGACTCGGCATTCTCATGTTCTCCTTCTACCTAAGTGCTCTTTTAGTGTAACCTACAAATCTACCTCTTCCTCTCCACTTCCCCTTTCTGTTGGTGTCCCCCAAGGCTCTGTCCTTGGACCCCTTCTCTTCTCTACCTACACCTCCTCTCTTGGTCAGTTGATCACCTCACATGGCTTCCAGTACCATCTCTATGCTGATGACACTCAAATATATCTCTCCACTCCACAACTCACCTCTCTCCTTACGTATCACTAACTTACTAACTGACATATCAGTCTGGATGTCACAACATTTCTCAAAGCTCAATCTTTCAAAAACTGAGCTCATGGTATTCCCTCCCCCCGCGTACCCTCCCCCAAATTTTCGATCATGAATGAGAACACAACTATCCAACCCTCCCCCCATTCCAAGGTGCTAGGTGTCAATCTTGACTCTGACCTCACCTTTCTTCCCCACATCCAATCCCTATCCAGATCCTGCCATCTTCACCTTCGTAACATCTCCAAAATACGCCCCTTCCTCGCCAATGAAACTGCAAAGCTGCTCATCCACTCACTTGTTATCTCTCGTCTAATTCCCTCCTCATTGGCCTTCCACTACACAGGCTATCATGAATGCAGCTGCTAGACTCATTCACCTAACCAACCGTTCAGTGTCTGCAACCCCCTCTGCCAATCCCTGCACTGGCTTCCAATCGCCCAAAGGATAAAATTCTAAATATTAACAACCACTTACAAAGCCATCCAAAACTCTGCCCCCGGCTATATCTCCAACCTCGTCACAAAGTATCACCCCAACTGCCCCCTCAGCTCTTCCAATGACCTCCTGCTTTCCAACTCCCTTGTCAACTCCTCCCATGCTCGCCTACTGGACTTCTCTAGAGCCTCTCCCATTCTTTGGAACTCCTTACCCCAACCTGTCCGTCTTTCTCCCACTCTGAATACCTTTCGGCGATCGCTAAAGACTCATCTCTTTAGGGAAGCCTATCACACTTTAAACTAACCACTGAACTCTTTCTCAAACAATTCTTCCCCAAACAGCTATCTCCTCATGTATCACTTGCCCCTCCCTCTTAGATTGTAAGCCCTAATGGGCAGGGTCCTCCTTACTAGGGATGAGCCGAGTGTTCGATTCGAACATGAGTTTGAATCGAACATCGGCAGTTCGAGCGCTCACCGAACGCCGAACTTTATGGGATGTTCGCGGCTTGTTCGACCGCGGACATTCCATAATACAAAATGCCCACTGAAGCTCTGATTTGTTAAAGTCTTGCACCTGACCACAGGTCAGGTGCAAGACTTTGCCCAATCAGGGCTCAGTGGAGGAGGGGCCTGAAGGAGAAAGTTCTCTATCAGGTCCCCCCATGCTGATTGATAGCAGGCGGGTGCAATAGCCAGCTTGCTATTGGCTATTGCATTTTACAATATCCAATAGCAGGTTGGGTATGGCTCAAAGCCTGCAGATGAAGAGGGGGCGGGGCAGAGGAGAATCAGCCGGACCGGGGGAGCAGAGGAGCCGACAGACAGAAGAAAAAGGAGGTGCCGGAGGAAGAGGAGCGGACGGACCCGGGAGAAGAGGAGCGGACGGACCCGGGAAGAGGAGCGGACGGACCAGCAGAAGAGGAGGTGCGGACGGACCGGAAGAAGACGAGGTGCCGCGGCCGGACGGGGGAACGGAGAAGCCGACGGACCAGGGGAAGACAGCAGTAGAGGTACGGGGGCAGCGGAGCAATGCAGAGGTCTGTGTCCCCGCTGCCTCCGCCAACACAGGCGGGGAGAACAGCGGGGATTTGAAGGGACACAGGCCGCTGCAGCCACATGTACCGGCAGCTGTATGGGGGTCGAACATTCGACCCCCATACACTTGCATTGAGTTTGAGTTCGTACTCGAACATTTCGGCGGATCGAATGTTTGAATACGAACCGAACACGGGGGTGTTCGGCTTATCCCTACTCCTTACCATCTTGTCTTAAATTGTATTGTAATTATAATATCTTCCCAATATTGTAAAGCACTGCACAAACTGTTGGTGCTATATAAATCCTGTATAATAAGAAGAAGAACGACCATATCCTTGTGAAGAACATGGAACAGAGATTTGCTCGAAAGAGCAGCCAGCTCTCAAACTCTCCTAACGGAGGTGATAGTGACATTGCATGCAAGGTGTAAGTCCCATGGGACACTAGAGGGCATCTAGGAGAAGTCACATGAGAAACCCCTTGAACATAAGCCTTTACCAAGGAATATTAGGCCAAGGGCTGCCAGAAAAGGATGGTTAATATTAATATTTGTTCCTTGAGCGTACTCAGGGCTAACTATTTCTCCAGTCCAGATTGGAAAAAGGCTAACATGTCCCACGGAGTAAGGACTTTTTGGACTCACCCACCAGATGATGCACAAATATGCACTTCGGACTGGAGGGGGGGAACCCCCACCCACACCTCGGCTTCGCTCACTTCAGACAAAAGCAAACCAATGCGGATGTACCACTGCCCTGGACCTGAATAGCATGCTGCAGCTAACCCAACACACTGTACAAATGTGCCAATGAAGGTGGCCACACAGGATCCAGTGCTGAAAGCAATGTTACAGGCTGGCTCCGCATCTTCTGATGTTGTCCTTGTGGAATCTGCATACAGACCCGAGGTGGCCGCATGCAGCCAAAGAAACTTGATTGAAAATAAGATTAAACACGTTCTCTCAGGAGAGAGAAAGAAACATGTCTTGCACTTAAGGACACTGACAAAAAAACTGAGCTTTTCCTGGAGTGGGAGGGGTTATATGTGGTCAGAGCTCTGGCCAGTGTCCAATCATCTGATGATACCTGCATAGTTGTCTATGATTTTGTCTGTGTGCTTTATGATCAAGAAAAGAGAAGTGCACGGTGCTTGAATACTCAAAGTATTACCTTCTTTTCTTCCTCCCTTATAGTTACTACTTCTGAAATTTCTATCCCTTTAAAGCTGACTATCCCTGCACAGATTGCTAAATTTGATATTCCTTTTTCTCATATTAACATTTTATTTTAATTTCAGATTGTTCTTTGTAGCATCAAGAGAAGGGCACCTTCCTGATTTTCTGTGTATGATTCACATCCATAGATACACTCCTATCCCTGCATTACTTTTTAACGTAAGATATATTTTCAAATATTATAAGCAATCTATTTGCACATTTGTGGCCCACTGGTAGCACTATCACTACTCACAGGTTTCCAGATGTCATCAGTTTTATATTAAAACAATGTAAGATCATACTTCATAGACCATGGAGTAAATCATTTCCAGAATCCTTGTCCACCACATCTCTTTCAGACTTCTTGAACCACGTAAATTTAGCTGGCTATACCCCAGTAGATATTAGATTACAATAGATTTTCTAAATCGACAATCATTTTAAACCAGATGAAGGAATTTTTTTCTCAAATAAACAGAATTCTAATAGTGAATGTGGTTTTTGTTTGAGAAACAAAATCAAATGAAAGTTCAAACAACATTTGTCAAGTCTCTGATGGTATTATCGAATGTTCTGACAAGATTTTTGTTATGAACTGTTGTATGAAAATCTTCTGGTGTATGGCTGGTTTTAGTCTCTGCTCACCAGAGATAAATCTTGGATGCATCTTGGCTCTTTCTCATCTTCTGCAAAATGACCTTGACCCAGCAGAAGTGACGTCCTTTAATTTGATGGGAACAGCAGCAAGTTCCAATCACAGCAAGATGTCTAATATCCAGCTATGGTGGGAGAGAAAAGGACAAACTTAGTAAGGAACTCCTTACATTCAGGTCACACATAGGAAAAAGGAGAAATGTAGAGCATCATCTTCATTGTGCTTCTCCAATGCCAAATGTGTGTAGATTGTAAAGACTATTTATTTTACCCATCTTCCAAAAGAATCTGTCCTGTTGCATTTCTGGTCTATTCACCTAGAGAAGTACTCAGATGAACCTCCTGTTGACATTGTTGGGAAACGAGATACTGTATATCTGTAAGCACTAGGCTCCTTGTTACATGATGTCCTAAACCCAACTCAATACTACTTTTTATTGTACTTTGTCAAATAACACATATTTTTTCTTCCCTTTTTGAAGATGTGAAAAAAAGTATGAGCTGTGTAATTATCTCTAATTTTATTACATTCCTATTAGATTTCTTCACAGTAAAGAGTAACTGCTCTTTCACACCAGGTGCATTGAGCTGTGTTGATCAGCGTTGATCAACACAAGCATAATGCAAGGGCACCTAGAAAACAATAGTTTTCTAGGTGCCCTTTTTGCACCATCCAAGTGCGGTGGTGCATGTTGCTGAAAATTGCAGCACACGCCACTGAATGGCAATGCACTGCATCACAACACGCTGTGGTGCATGGAGCTGAGTGAATTGTCATTTTGTGACATCTCAATAAGAAAAAAGTAAATGGTGCGATGTGTTGTTACAATGCCCCTACCAAAGCAACCCAATAAGTGCACATTATTCCATAGCATACCATCTACCTATGGTGTGAATCTTTTCTAGGTTAAAGAGCTTCTACAATTTCTTTCTGTTGAACTAAATGCTTTTTTTTTCTTTTACCATTGTCAGCCTGAGCACCAACTATTTAGCTTATTTGCTACCTAAAACATCCCTCTGTTTACCAGTAGCCCTTTCCCTGCAAGACTACTGATGTACATTCTGAATGGCTGACAGATATATGCCCAGTCCATCTACTGCAGTAATGCCATTATTGCCCTGATGGCAGCCCTGACATCTGTACAAAAGCAGTATGGTAAGACCCTTGCTATATGGGCTTCCTGAGAAAACAAGGAGGGAAGCGCTACAAACTAAGTGAGAGGGCGTGTTACGGAGCCAGGGAGGATGTCAGATGTTCCTTAAAATGAGTGGGCAATTTATATAGCATTAAAATTTCACTAAATTCCACTTTCTCCATGGAAATGTTCTTTAAAACAATGCTTAAGCCAAAACCTTTTTTTCAGTAACAGAGGTGGTAAGCCTGGTTGGCTTTTTTCCTGCGATCTGTGTCCCATTGGAGAGATTTCACTTCCTGTCTGATAACCGCAACAGGAAGTGAGACAATCCCTCCAAAGTGAGGGAAATCTTCTGTGGTCCCCACTAGTGTCCTCAATTGAAGATTTCCCATCATGTTCTGATGACAACCCAACATTTTAGATTCAGTGATAATAGTCACTAGGACAAATAGTGAGCGGGAATCTCCCTAATGAGAACACTACAGGTTTTCTACATTACAGGTTTTCTAATCCCTCTCCATTCTGTCCAAAACTAAAAAAAAAAGTATTGGCTATAGTTGCTCTTTAATCAGACTGTGTTCTAATAAAATGTATTTATATTTTATACTGTACAGGGGTTTATGGCTCTCATATTCCTTTGTGTGAAGGATGTCTTTCAGCTCATTGATTATTACAGCTTTAGTTACTGGTTTTTCCAAGGCTTGGCAGTTGGCAGCCAAATTTATTTAAGAATAAAGAAGCCAGATATGCCTAGACCTGTAAAGGTATGTATGAAATGTATTTTAATAAACATGTTTGTCATTGAAACCAATAATATTGACATTATTATATGAACTGTAAATCACAAGTATAACTCAACAGATTTACTCATTCCTTGACTTATATGTAGCTAGTAGTAGTAAGGCCCCATTCATACCTGTCACAGGTGGGGGGCGGGTGTTAATGGAGTATTATGCTGTTTACATATTACTTGTTTTCTCATATTACTATTTTTATCAAAATTGAAATCTCCTCTGGAATGCAAGAGGGCTAGGAAGGTTACCAAATTAATATTGTCAGTACTGTACTGTCAGATTATCAATTGTAAACTAGATTTGAACACCATCTGTGCTAACAAGGGTTAACGATTTAGAATGATCTAGAACAGGTGTAGTGAATTTAAATTCAAGGAGGTTTGGTGAGTAAAATGTCCTTTGTGCCAAGGTCCAAATTGCGTGTAAAGACAGAAGGGTTACTGCCATTTAGGCTGCATTCACACCAGTAGCTGTACTACAACGCACAGCTGCAGGTTCCCCCAGAACTGATCCTGGCACATCGCACTGTTTATTTTTCTTTATTTTTTGTTAGAACTTTATTGAAATATCATGAGTGACATTTCATTAAGTTCTATGGAGACAGCACAGTGTGATGCAGGTGGGGCCCGCATGCAGTACTTATGCAGTGCCCGCATGAACTGAGCCCTTTCGTAACAAGGCAAATTGCCTTGTCTAGTGTTGGGGCTGCACTGGAAAAAGCACATCAATCTCACATAAAATTAAACATTACCTTTACTTTATATATATCACATTTTTACACACCTATATATTTTTATATATGTGTGTTTGTGTGTGTAGATTATATATATATATATATATATATA